CTCCTTCACCCAGTGCCCAGTGCCACAGGTGGGGGTGCCGCAGGGAGGGGTCCCCGCTTCTGGAGAGGGGGCTGCAGGGAGGGGCCAGGCCCAGGGCCCTCCCGGCCTCCGGACTTCCCAGCTCTGCCCGCTCCTGGGCCCAGGCCCTGGGCCAGAGACACGCTCGGCTGGTGGGGGAGGCCAGCCGCCAGGGCAGCCTGGGCCCGGGGCAGGCGCTCCCCTCACGCTCTGAGCACAGTGCCCCCGCGGGCCCCCCGAGGAGCCCGGGCAGCCAGCCTGTGGGCAGGACGGAGCGGACCCGCGCCCAGAGGGGCTGTCAGCAGGAAACCGCCTCAGGGACTCTTAGGACAGCAGGTGCCCTGGGCCTCCCGGGCCGGGCCTCACTGCCTGCCACCCTCCTGGCAACGGGGGCCGGAGAGGCGGCGGAGGCACGCCACCACCCTGCGGCTGCCGCCCCGCCCTCCTGCTGCCGGGACTCCGGCTGGCGGGACCTCCCTCACTGCAGCCGGCGGCGTGGCCCCGTGGCCCCTGCAGCCCAGCCACGCCCTCCCCACCTCCCACAGCTCAGTCCCGTGTGGGTGGAGCCCACGCACATCACCCATCCTGACCCGTTCCAGGGACCCAGGCCGAGCAGAGGCAGCGGGATGGCTTAGGGCGGGCACAAGACCACGAGCAGACCAATGAGAGGCAAGCCTGCGGGACTCAGGGCCAAGAGGGGTCCTCCCCATGGAGACAGCGGTGCTGGTAGGGCTTGCACCTGGATTCAGCCATACCTGAGCCCACACCTGCACCTGGATCCAGCCATGCCTGAGCCCACAACTGCACCTGGATCCAGCTGTACCTGAGCCCACACCTGCACCTGGATCTAGCCATACCTGAGCCCACACCTGCACCTGGATCCAGCCGTACCTGAGCCCACACCTGCACCTGGATCCAGCCGTATCTGAGCCCACACCTGCACCTGGATCCAGCCGTATCTGAGCCCACACCTGCACCTGGATCTAGCCATGTCTGAGCCCACACCTGCACCTGGATCCAGCCATGCCTGAGCACACACCTGCACCTGGACCCAGCCATACCTGAGCACACACCTGCACCTGGGTCCAGCCATGCCTGAGCACACACCTGCACCTGGGTCCAGCCATGCCTGAGCCCACACCTGCACCTGGATCCAGCCATTCCTGAGCCCATGTCTGCCCCTGGAGGCTGTGTGAGCTGACCACGTCCTGTTTGGTCAGTGAAATGTCCTGACAAACCCCCGGAGAACGCAGGGAGCCTGTTCCCTTTGCCGCAGGCTCCGAGGACAGGACAGTCCACACTCACTGCCGCCCCCTCCTCTGAGACGGCAGCGCTCACCATGACGGATGGGGCAGCCATGCCCGGCAGCTGGAAGTCCATGCTGGCCTCCGCGCCACACGCCCCCTCGCTGCGGCCCTGGCTTGCGGGGGGCAGGTCAAAGTAGGTGCTGTCCGGCTCCCTGGGGAGAGGAGAGGAAGCAGCCCTCAGCCCGACAGCCCAGGCCTGCGCGGGAGCAGCCCAGGCTTGGCGGGGGTGCGAGCCTCATTTTTCTGCCCCGGGGTGTCCCTGCCTCCAGGGGTCTGCCTGAGACCTCCCCTCCCTTTCCCCTCCCCCTCCCGCCTCCTCCCCTCCCCCTCCCCCTCCTGCATCCTCCCCCCTCCTGCCTCCTCCCCCCTCCTGCCTCCTGCCCTCCCCCCTCCCCCCTCCTCTCCTCCTCCCCTCCCCCTCCCCCTCCTACCTCTCCTCCTCCCCCTCCTCTCCTCCCCCCTCCCACCTCCTCCCCTCCTCCCGCCTTCGTCCCCCTCCCTCCTGCCCTCCCCTCCTTCCTCCTCTCCCCTCCCCCTCGCCCTCCCGCCTGCCCACCTCCTCCCCTCCCACCTCCCATCTCCTCCCCTCCTCCTCCCTCCAGCCTCTCCCCTCCTTCCGCCTCCCCACTCCCCCTCCTGCCTCCTCCCCTCCTCTCGCCTCCGTCCCCCTTCCTCCTGCCTCCCCTCCTTCCTCCTCTCCCCTCCCCCCCTCCCACCTCCCACCTCTTCCCCTCCCCCTCCCTCCCCCCTCCTCCCCTCCCCCTCCTCTCCTCCCCCCTCCCACCTCCTCCCCTCCTCTCGCCTCCGTCCCCCTCCCTCCTGCCTCCCCTCCTTCCTCCTCTCCCCTCCCCCCCCCCCTCCCGCCTCCCACCTCATCCCCTCCCCTCCCATCTCCTCCCCTCCTCCTCCCTCCAGCCTCCCCCCTCCTTCCGCCTCCCCACTCCCCCTCCTGCCTCCTCCCCTGCCCAGCTGCCCTTCCAGGGCGTGGGAACACCAAGGAGGCATGGTCACCGGGGGCTCTGTCCCTGGGCCTCCCCTGGCCCGGACCCTGTAAGGCTGCTCAGAAGGAAGCGCCCGGACTCTGGAGCTGGGTGCCCAGGAGCAGGCCCGGCAGCACCCCAGCCCGGCCGGCCGGGGGCGGGGGCGGGGCGGAAACACTCACAGGGAGCTCCACAGGTGCTGGAAGGTGGTCCCCTCGTCTCCGCGGGCTGGGGGCCCGGACATCTTCCCTCTGCGGGCAGAGAGGGCAGTGAGCTGGGGCGGCCCCTGTGTGCTCCCCTCCCCCTTTCCAGGCCGGAGGCAGGCGCCTGCCTTGCAGACTTCACCCCGGGGGGGCTGGGCAGGGGGCCCTGGACGGCGCAGCCCTTCGGGCGGGGGCTCGGACCTCCGCCGTCTCCTCAGGGGCGGGGGCGGGAGACACCGCTCAGGTTACTGCCTCCGGCTGAGCCCAGGGCCCAGAGCCAGGCTTGGGGGCTCCCGGACACCCAGGCTGTGGGCCCGGCTCCGACAGAGGTCGCCTCTAAGGACAGCATTGCAGGGCCCAGAGGAGCCGGCCTAGCCCTGCTGGCGACCTTTCACCTTTCACCTCAGAGGCAGGTCCACCTGAGACCCCAACAGGAACCAGCCGGGACCCCAAAATCCCGCCGGGCCACGGCCGCCAGAGCGGGTCCCACCCGGGGGTCCCCTTCCCAGAGGCGCTGGGCGGTGGGGCCTGTGCCTGACCAGGGCCTCTCCGGAGCCACCGCGCCCGGAGGAGGCGGCAGGCCAGGCCGGCTCTGCTGGGGCCTCGGCCCCGTGGGGCGGGGCAAGGCGGGGGGGCAGGACCCACTTCCCCGGCTGCGGTGGATCTTGGGTCCTGGTGCCGCAGCCACAGCCTGGCCACCCCAGCGGGCAGGCCCGGACCTGCCTGAGCCTCTGGGACAGGAGCCGAGCCCCGCTCTGTCACTTTGTCCCCACGCGGCCGGTCCCGGCGGGAGGCTGTGCAGGGCCCCAGGGTGCCACGTGCCGGCGGCCAGCCCCCGGAGCAGGGCCACGCGCCCTGAGCCCGCCAGGGACCAGGCGGGGCCCGGGGAGGGACCAGGGACCAGCGCGGGGCTCGGTGAGGGCGGCCGCCCGGGGACAGCAGCCGAGGAAGTGCCGCCGGCCTTGCCGCTCTCCGGAGGCCCAGAGCGGAGACGTGACCCGGGAGCCCATGCCACGCCAGGCCACGCCGGGCAGGAGGGCCACGTGGTCTGCTCGGAGTTGGGGATGAGCTCAGCGGTGTCTACCCCCACGCCAACAGCCCTTCGGCTCCCCACCCACAGGGTTTGGACCAGGAGCTGCCAGCCTGGCACCCCTCCGGCCGGCAGGTCGCCCCGTGGGGACTGAGCTGACCTGGGTCCAGGGGGCCGAGAGGGGGGCAGGGCGCGGGCCACAGGGCGGTCAGAGGGGGCCTTAGGAGGCTGGGCAGCAGCGCCCATTCCCCAGGCCGGCCCTTTGGGGTGCACAGCCTCCGGGGTGGGCAGAGTGTGCCCGCGGAGACGGGACTGGCCGGCATCTGGTCCGGCCCTGCGTCTGGCCTTGGACCCTCCAGCCCAAGTGGAGCAGCTTAGGGAGCATCCCAGCGGGTGGGCCCGCACCCCCCCAACCCTGTCCCCCGGCTCAGACAGCCCAGCCCCCACACCTGCAACCAGGGGTCACCAGGTGGGTGGGGGCTCCTCCTCGGCCACCCAGGGGAACGAGCGCCCGCACCCACGCGGTCGATGCGGCTCAGGGAGGAGCCAGACGCCCTGCCGTGTGGCCCAGCCTCCCCGGCCGCTGCCGCCCAGGACGGGCACAGCGTGGGCGCGGAGGGCCGGAGGCTGCCGGGGGCTGGGACAGGGAGATGGGGAGGGGCTGCTTGTGGGTGGGGCCTCCTGTGGGCTGAGGACGACGTTCTGGAACGGACCGAGGCGGTGCCGCATGGCCCTGATGGGGCCCCGCAGAGGGTGCTCTCTCCTGTGACCTCCGCTCAGTGAACTCGCTTTAACTTGGAAAAGCCGGAGCCTGGGGCCCGGCCGGCGTGGCTCAGGGGTCGAGTATCCCGGTCAGGGCACAGGCTCAGGTTGTGGGCTTGAACTCTCGTAGAGGGTGTGCAGGAGGCAGCCGAGCCATGCTTCTCTCTCATCACGGATGTTCCTCTCTCTCTCTCTCTCTCCCTCCCTTCGGCTCCCCCCCCCCTCTCTCTCTATCTCTATTTCTCTCTCCCTCTCCGGTCTCTCCCCCTCCCCTCCCCTTCCCTCCTTTCCCTCCCTTCCCCTCCCCTCCCCTTTCCTTCCCCTCCCCTCCCTTTTCCTCCCCTTTCCTCCCCTTTCCCTCCCCTCCCTCTCCTCCTCCTCCCTCCCCTCCATCCCCTCTCCCCTTCCCCTCCTCTCCTTTCCCCGCAGGGGCAGCCTCAGTCTGGAAGCAGGTCCTAAGGTCTGAGCACCTGGCTCCCTCGCTGGGGTCACCCCTCTGCCTCCTCTGCTCCCAGGCCCAGCCCTGCCCCTGCCCCTGCCCCTGCCCCACCCGCACACAGGGCGCTTCTGCCTCTCCCACCCCCTTCGCCCCAAGGGATCCCCAGCACCTCTCTGTGACTCAGGGCTGTCCTGGGCGCAGCCCGCAGCGCGCAGCCTGGGCCCCAGCTCCCAGAGCCACAGCTCAGCGCCTCCCCTGAGGGGTGCTCACCCCCTCCCACCCCCTCCTCCAGGCCCCGCCAGGCCCTGCCTCTGGAGGGAGCACTGTCCTCTGTGAGTCAGGACGCCCGCTGGCTCCACCACCACCACCTTCCGCTGTGTGGCCTGGGGGCCGGGGGGCAGGATCCATGGCTTCCTGCTTCCGGTCCCCATCTGCCTGTCCCTGCCCAGGGCCCCAAAGAGACACCACCCATGGGGACGGCGCCTCGACCCGCTCTGCCCATCGCCCCTCTGACCTCAGGGGCAGGGGCTCCGCTGCCCGCACCCCCTAGGACCCTGCGCACACCCTCCCTCTGGCCGTCAGGACCCCAGGTTTCAGGGAGGGCAGCTCCTTTCAGTCCATCAGAGGAAAGACCCCCCCAAAACTCTACCACGGCCCCAACCCCCAAACAATCCACCCTGTGGCGCCACACCGCCGGCCGCTCGGCGTTGTCTGGCGTTGAGCCAGCAGCGGGGCGCAGCCGGGGTCCCCAGCTCAGGCAGAGCTGCCCAGCCCGAGCCGGAACCTGACCGGAACCTGCAGTAGAGGGAGCCGGGCCATCACAGGGGCCGCGCCGTCCTGGGCCCCCTCCCCGCCCTGTGGCCCTGCCTCGAGGGCCTGCAGGAGGCCCAGCACCCAGAAGCCCCGGCCGGGCGACTGGAGGGGGGGGGCAGTGCAACGCCATCTTCCCTAATTGCGCCAGGGCGCCCCGAGCCGGCCCTGGGCCCTGGGTGCTGAGAACCTGGGTGCCCGGCTGCCCCCAGAAGCCGTGGCCCTTGCCCTTGGGGCACGGCTGGGCCTGGGTTCCCGAATGAAAGGCCAGGGGCCTCCTCCTCGGACAGGGGGCCAGGGTGGCGCCCCCTCTGCCTGCCCCTCCTCCTGCACCCAGCCACATAGCCACGGGAGCCAGTGCGAATTTATCTTTTTAAATATATTTTTATTGATTTCAGAGAGGAAGGGAGAGGAAGAGAAACATCCATGATGAGAGAGAATCATGGATAGGCTGCCTCCTGCACGCCCCCAGGCCTGCGCCCTTGACCAGAATTGAACCGTGACCTCCATGTTCATAGGTGGACGCTCACCACTGCGCCATGCCGGCCGGGCTCACGTATTGATATCAGCCCTCCATGTCACCCAGGGAGGAGGCCTGCTGTGCTCACAGAAGCTCCGACAGCCCGCAGCTGAGGGCGGCAGGAAGCGTAGGGGGTGGGGTGAGGGGCTGAGAGGGGGTAGAGGGTTAGAGGGGCCCGGACCCGCCAAGCTCGGGCTCTGCTCCGTGGGCCACGGGGGCCAGCTGGGGGCTCGGCTCCCAGAGGGACCAGAGGGGTTTTCTGGAGGCCCCCCAGGGGCACATCGTGGGCCTGTGAGCCGAGGGGGCGGCCTTGGCGGATGCGAGTGACGGGAACGTGGACCGAGAGGATGGACGGGGATGTGGGGGCAGAGGGATGAGGACCCCTTGCAAGTTGGCGCCCGTTGGCTGAGTTAAGGCCTCCAGCCAGCCACAGGCTGGGGCGCCTGGAGCCCCCGGCAGCTGTGTGCTTGGCGGGGCCTCTGGCCTCCGGTCTGTGGGATGGGGAAGGCACCCGATCACACAGCGCTGATCTAGGCTGGCAGTCAGCAAACGCATTAGTCAGCAGAGCCAGATATCAACAGCACAACGATGGACATCTCTTCGGAGAGCCACATTGTTTAAACTGAAACTTCTTCTAACGCCACTTCTTCAACATAGACTCGCCCAGGCCGTGGTCTTTTGCGGAAGAGCCACGCTCAAGGGGCCAAAGAGCCGCATGTGGCTCTCGAGCCGCAGTTTGCCGACCACTGATCTGGGCCGAAGCACCCAGCGGGGTCCCCGGGCTCGTTGGCGGCGTGAGGCGGGGCGGCCCCGTGGCGGCTGGGCCACCTGCACGCCTGAGCTCAGTCACTTCCCCACCACCGGCTCCCTCCGGCCCTCCCGCGGCTCCCGCAGGGCCGGGGGCCGGACAGGCAGCTTCCCGCCGTCCCTCTCACACATGCGCACAGACACGCACACGCACCCCCCGCGTCCCTCACAGCACATGCCCCACCACGGGAGTCCCGCCCCGTCAGCAGGAGCAGTCCCCCAGCCGGCACACCCCGGGGCCTGTCAGCCTGGGCACCCTTCGGTCCCCGCTGGACAGGAAGTAGCGAGAGCTCCCAGAGGGCCCGAGGGCCAGCTCTGCCCGCCCACGTGGCACCCTGCCCAGGACCGTGCCTGGTGCCCGTCAGCCCCCGTGGGGGCAGGTGGCTCCCCAAACAGCCACCAAGAAGGGGCTGGTCCCCGTCATCAAAGCCCCATCGGGGACTGCCCCTCTGCCGCCGGCCCAGGGCGGCCTCCATGGGGCACCGGGTGCAGCCATGTGGGGAGGGCTCCGCACCCTGGGTGGCCCCAGGGGGGTGGTGACAGACCTCAGCCTGAGCCTGGAGGGGGCCGGCCGGGCGGCGCACCCACGCCTACCTTGACGGGCTGGCCGGAGGGTCTGCAGGGGCCGCAGGCGCGCCGCTGCTTGCTGGTGGCTGGGCAGGCCGTGGTGCAG